CACCCCACACGGGTGTGGGGGGCCAGGGGAGCTGCTCCCCTCTCCCATTGAACCCCCTCCATCCTTTCCCTAAGGAAAATCCAGGCAGTGACTCCTCAAAGCTGGGCTGGGCCCCGTGCACGGGAGGGAGGGATGGAAATGTAAAATAAAATAAATTTAAACAAATAAAATAAAATATAAAGTAAAATAAAAATAAAATAAAAATGAAATAAAATAAAAATGAAATAAAATAAAATAAAATATAAAGTAAAATAAAAAATTAAATAAAATTAATAAAATAAAATAAAATATAAATAAAATAAAATAAAATAAAATATAAAATATAAAAAATAAAATATAAAAATAAGATAAAATAAAAAAATAAATAAATAAAATAAAATTAAATTAAATTAAATTAAATTTTAAAAAATAAAATAAAATGAAATAAAATAAAAAATAAAATAAAATAAAATATAAAGTAAAATAAAAATAAAATAAAGTAAAATAAAAATGAAATAAAATAAAATATAAAAAATAAGATAAAATAAAATAAAAAAATAAATAAAATAAAATATAAAGTAAAATAAAAAATAAAATAAAAAATGAAATGAAATGAAATGAAATAAAATAAAATAAAATAAAATAAAATAAAATAAAATAAAATAAAATAAAATAAAATAAAATAAAAATGTTTTTTAAAAATCTCTGGGATTGAAGGAGCAGCCCAGCCCAGGAGCCAATCCCAGGCTGGCACACACACACACAGCACAGCCATGGCAACAGGAGCAGCCTGGCAACAAGGGCTGCTCCCAAACATCCTCATTTTCCACCAAAAACACCCAGCTCGATCTGCCTTGCATCAGGTGGGCAGCAGCATCAGCAAGGAAGGCTCCAGGTCAAATTAATAAGCAGGATAAAATCCTTCAAAGAAGGGAGAAAATTCAACAAAACACATCACCCCTCTCATTTCTGCCTGATAAAAACCCTGCAGGATGCGAGAGCTCTGCTCCATCCCCTCTGCCTGGGCCTGAACAGAACCAAACCACGCAGAGGGCACAACTTCTATCCCTGGATTAAATTTTCACCACTGCAAAAGGCAAAGCAGAAACCAAAGGACAAATTCCCTGCTGGGAGAGGAAAACCCCACTGAAATAAACACTAAAGAGCAGCAGATGCCAGTGCAGACTCACACAGAGCCTGAGCACTCACGGGCGCCCTTTTGGAGTTTACAAACGCATTAACAGAACGAGGAAACAACTTTTGCTTCTCTCCCAGGGGATGCAGATGCCAAGGAAATGTTTGGGTCTTTTGAAAAGCATCAGGGCCAGACTGGTGAAGGAACCAGGAGGCACCAGTGTAAA